AGTAATTGTTTTATGAACGTGGGAGCTCCAGGGTTAGGTAAATATAAATTTATGACTGTAATATCTTCTGTTTGGATTGATCCTTTTATCATTATATAATGACCTTCTTTGACTTCTTTTTTTTTAACTATTGTTGCTTTAAAGTCTGTTATGTCTGGTATAAGACTAGCTACTCCTGCTCACTTTTCATTTGCATTTGCATGAAATATCATTTTCTACACCTTTACCTTGAATTTATATGAGTCCTTACATGTTGGTTGAGTCTCTTGAAGATAGCAGATATTTGGTTTGCAATTTTTAAAATTGATTCTGCCAATCAGTTTCTTTTAAGTGGAGCATTTAGGCCATTTATGTTCAATGTTAATATTGAGATGTGAGATACTGTTCTAGTCATCATATTAATTGTTACCTACATACTTTGTGTTTTTCATTGTGTTGTTGTTTGATAGGCCTTGTGAGTTTTATGCTTTCAAAAGGTTCTATTTTGGTGCATATTGAGCTTCTGTTTCAAGATTTAGAACTCCTTTTCACATTTCTTTTCTTTTCTTATTCTTTTTTTTTTTTTTTTGAGAATTAGAGTCTCCCTTTGTCACTGAGGCTGGAGTGCAGGGTGCAGTCTTGACTCACTGCAACCTCTACCTCCCAGGTTCAAGCGTTCTCCTGTCTCAGCCTCCTGAGTAGCTGGGACTACATGCACCCACTGCCAGGTCTGGCTAATTTTGTATTTTCTTTTCTTTTTTTTTTTTTTGAGGTGGAATTTTCCCTCTTGTTGCCCAGGCTAGAGTGCAATGGCCTGGCTTTGCTTACACACACCTCCACTCGGGTTCAGTGGATCCTTCTGACTCAGACTCCAGCTACTGGGATTACAGGCACCCGCCACCACGCCCAGCTAAATTTTGTATTTTTAGTAGAGATGGGGTTTTGCCATGTTGATTCAGGCTGGTCCTCAACTCTTGACCTCAGGTGATCGCCCTGCCCCGGCCTCCCAGTGCTGGGATTACAGCACGAGGCAAATCAGGCCTGGCTAATTTTGTGTTTTTTAGTAGAGATGAGGTTCACCATATTGCCGGCTGGTCTCCTGAGCCTTTGTGATCCTCCTGCCTCGGACCTCCAAAGTGCTGGGATTACAGACATCGGCCCAAAACACCCGGCCCTTTTCCATCAATTCTCTGTAGTGCTGGTTCGTAACCACTACAATTTCCTCACATTGTTTGTCTGAAATGAGCTTTATCTCTCTTTATTTCATTTATATCACTCCTTTCATTAGTTTTGCTCGGAACAACCATGTGTTGGGCTGACAGTTGTTCCTGTTTAAGGCAGCTAAAGACAGGGTTCCCATTCCTTTGGGCTTATAGGTTTCTGTTGAGAAGTCTGCTAGTTATTGATAGGTTTTCCTTTATATGTGACCTGATTGCCTTTCTGTCTCACTGCTCTTAGATTTCTTTTCTACATGTGACTTTATGGCCTAATGACTATGCCTTTGGTGGTGCTCTTTTTGGAATGAGTTTCTCAGGAGTTTCTTTGAGTTCTTGGATTTGGATATCTAAATCTCCAGCAGGGCCAGGAAAGTTTTTCCTCAATTATCTTCAATAGTTTTCAACTTTTTCTCTTCTTCCCTTCGAGACACCAATTATTCTTAGATTTGGTGTTTACATACTACCCGTATTCTTGAGACTTGGTGTTCATTTATTATTTTTTACTCTTTATTGTCTGATTGGCTAAGTTGAAAGCCTCGCATCTTTGGAAATTCTGAAATCTTCTTCACTTATTCTAGTCTTTGTTAATACGTTTCCACTGCATTTGTAATTCCGTAAATGTATACTTTCATTTCAGAGTTCCCTTTTTTATGAATTTACTCTTCTAGGAAAAGTTTTTCTTTAATCTGATTTTTTTCGTTTAATTTCTTTATGTTGTTTCATCTTTCTCTGGAATCTCCTTGAGTAGCTCTTATACAAATTCTGAAGTCTTCATTTGCTATTTCTAAAATTTTGTCTTAGTTTGGCTTCATTTCTTGAGCACTAATGTGATCTTTTGGGAGGTGTTATAGAACCCTATTTTATCATATTAACAGAATTAGTTTTCCTCATTTGGGTAGACTGTTTCTTCTAATTATTCTTAAATTTATTTTTGATTTGACTGTGTGATTTTATTTCTTATTTTCCTTCTTAAGGGTTTGACTTTAATGTTTATTGTTTGTTATAGCCTAATTTGGTTCTTGGTGCTTTTAGGGTTGAAAAGTCTGTATGATTTCCTTGGTTATAGAGAAACTTTGTATGATGGCTTTCTCAGATGCTAGACATAGCAGTAATGTACTCAGTGTGTGAGCAAACTTACTGTCTCTGGAAGCTTATCTCATTCCAATGTGGCATGCACTTTTAAACTTTTTTACTTTTCCCCAGTATTTCATTCACTGGGTTGATGGTTCAGGCTTCAGGCCTGTAGTGGAGGTGTTCCCAGGTAGGAATCAGTTGTGGCTAAAGAAGGTGGGTAAATACAATACCCAATGGTGGGCAGAGGTTTCAACCTTGACAAAGGGGGCTGGGGGAGTTGTCAGTGAGACACACTGAAGTCTTATCAGGGGAAGGGTGGTAGCCACCTTGGCTCCCCTGTCAGGTCAGCAGGGAAGCTATCCATCTCCCAGATACACACCTGTCCCAACATTCTGGCTATTCAGATCATACAGGCCTCTCTTTTCATCTGTTGGAATGTTAATGTTCCAAGTAGAGAATTGTGACTCTGCCTCTTATGTAAGCCTGAAACTGGAGGGTGCTTCTCCTGTGGGGATGCGGTCACCCTGAAGTGTTCGAGAAAGTCTGTCTATGCATGCACCCATGCTGAGCTCTTGTGGGAGAAGACCCAGCTGTGTCTGCCATGGTGGACGAGATTGGTAAGAAGTCCCCTTCTCCAAGATCTTTGATAAGCATCAGGGCTGTCTGACTGTTGGGACAGCTGTAGACATTCCCTGCTGAACCCAGCACTTCAGTTCTGCCTCTTTGAAAGAAACTTCCCACCAGTGGAACAATCTAATCCTCAAGACCTGCCATCTGGATTCTTTGGTCACACAGGGTGTTCCCTTGATGTGGCGCACTCTCCCTTTCCGTAGGAGTAGAAGTTCCTGACAGACAGACTACTATGAGTGCTGCTTCTCCTCTGGGTCTAGCCACTCAGTGGCTCCAGATTAGTGCTGGGAGATGTCTGCTAAGGATCCAGTGACATGACCTGTCCTCCAGTTTTTCAACAGCAGGTATCAGCACCAGGTCTGATGGGGGTGCCAGAGGCGTGACATAGACTCTGTGAGATTCCTTGATTATAGATAACTTTAGTGCGTTGTCTTTCTTGAATGCTGGTTCAAGTAGTAATAAACTGGTCATGTGGATAGACTCAGGACCTCCTGGTTAGATAGGGTGGTGCAGGAAGTGGTAATAGCTGAGGTCATACAGTAGTTTTGTCCTTCCTGAGTGCAGTGTTATTCCACCTACAGATGCTGTAATGGACTGTGTTGGTAGCCTTCCAGCTACTGGGTGGCATTTGCAAAAGAGTACCAGGTGTGGTCGTAGCAGTGGGATTTGTGCTTGCCTTATGTTGCCCAGGGTAGGTAGTCTGGCTTCTCAGGTGATGGATGGGGCTATAAACCTCCCCAGGGTTTCTGTCCTTTGTATTAAGCTACCACGGTGGGTGGAGGGGGAAAGCCAGATGAGGGCTGTGTTAGGTGGGTCTGCACTCTGAGTCACCATGTGCATGGCAAGCAGCGGTCCCTGTTGGAGATGTGTTTGCACGGGGAGTGGGGAGTAGCAGGCAGCAGTAAGCCTAACCCAGATTTCACACAGTTGACAAGGCAGATCTGGCTCCTGCAGTACTCTGCTAGCAGCAGTGAGCTAAGTTCCAGGCAGTCTGTACTCAGAGCTCACACCAAATTGCCATGGTGATAGCAACTGCTGGCTTTTGGGCCATGCCATACTCTGTTCACCCACATAGCTGGCACCCAGATCCTGCACTCGTGGCTGCAACACATTTCCCACTCATCTTTCTGGTTCTGGCCAAGGGAGTTCATCTTCTCTTGAGGTTATATTGTGAATTTCAGCTGGGAGTTTTTGCAATGTGCATCCCCTGGCTGAGCTAGTTGGCTGAGTTCCACGAGGTTGTCTGTGAGGTGTAATAAGGAATAGCTTCCCTTGGTTCATGCTGGAGACTGGGAATACACACAGGCCTCTTCCTGCTGCTGCTGTTACTTTTATGTTCCTCACTGCTCTTTTAATTGGTTCCAGTGCTGGGAAGGGTTAAGGCCCTCCCCCATGGCATGGACTTTCAGGTTCCCCAGTGGGGGTTTGTATCCTGGAGCCAGTCTCTTCACCTCTCACACCCTGGGGGCTTACAGTTTTCCACCTAACTGACGGCGTGGGATGTCACCTGCTGCTTTTTTCAAAGAGTCTATGGATTCTTTCAGTTTTCCTGTTCAGTTCCTGCATTGCTTCTTGGAAAAATGTACACAGTGAGAATTTTTAGTTTTATTTTTTAGATGGAGTCTCGGTCTGTCGCCCAGCCTGGAGTGCAGTGGCACAATCTTGGCTCAGTGCAACCTCTGCCTCCTGGGTTCAAGTGATTCTCCTACCTCTTGCCTCCCCAGTAGCTGGGATTATAGGCACCCGCCACCACACTTGGCTAATTTTCATATTTTTAGTAGAGACGAGGTTTTGCCATGTTGGTCAGGCTGGTCTTGATCTCCTGACCTCAGGTGATCCACCCACCTCGGCCTCCCGAAGTGCTGGGGTTAAAGGTGTGAGCCACCGTGCCTGGCCCACAGTGAGAGTTTTTTACTCACTATTTTATCCTTCCAAGTGGTAGAGTCATGCTAACACTGCCTCCAATCTGTCATCTAAAAAAAAAAAATCCTGTTTTTAAAAAATTTAGAATAATTTGATGAACAACACACAGCTTAAAACACATGTGAATCCACAATATGCACTTCCTCATAGATCTTTTAGATGGTCTGGCTACCCCACCTGGGGCATTCTGACACTCCTTTATATTTAGCATGTTTGATTTTGCCCGTCTATCACTTAACATCTGGAAAAGTTTTGGTAGAGTAATATAAGCCTATTGTACAGATTCAGGAAGAACTTTTAGACATTATCTAAAACAATCTTCTTGTCTTTCAGTTTAGGAAATGCAGACGCAAATTGTTAATTGTCCTCCCAAAGCCACAAGGTTGTTACTGATAACTATCTTACTACGGTTTGAATGTGTTTCTTGCACGATTCAGGCCTTGCCAGTGTGGTAGTATTGAGAGAGGTGGGGCCTTTAAGAGATGGTTTGGCCTTGAAGGCTTCTCTCTTGAGGATGGTATTAAGACCTTTATAAAAGAGGCTACATGTAGCATTTGGCTGGCTTGTCCTTCTGCTTTCCGCCACGTGAGAATAGCCTTCCTCCACTACAGAGAGTGCAGCTCTCTCCTGACATCCAACCCTGCCAGTGCCTTGATCTTAGATTTCCCAGCTTCTGGAATGCTGAGAAATAAATTTCTATTGCTTGTAATTTATCTGGTCTCAGGTATCCTGTTGCAGGTCAGCACAAACAGACTAATTCTAATGTACTGATTCAGGAAGAATTTTTTTCACATTACCTAACATATTTTCCTCTCAGTTTAGGAGATTTAGGCACAAACTAACTGGCTTCTGCAAACCACATGGTGGTTAGTAATAGTTTTAAAAGTTTTTACTTCCAGTAAAATGTATAATTCCTCATGATCATAATGTACCAAATGTGCTATAAAATGTTACATCAAGTTCAGATACTATAAGAATGATCACTGCTCTGTTCTTGGAGAAAGGAAGGGGCTAGATCCTATAATCTCTTCTCTTTTCACAAAGGCACAGAGAGGTTAAACTAAGTGACTCCCTAAAGGATGGGTAAGAAATGAGGATGCGTGTCCTTCCAAGTTATTATTATTCCGCATGCTCTGAAGGAACCACAGGGCTACACCATGCTATTGTAAGTTCTTGCCTTCTTTACACTGAAGTTACATGAGAAATGCAAACAGGTAAACAAAAAAGACCTGAGAAAGGCCAACTTTTTGATAACTGTTTAGACAGAGACTGCCTAAACCGAAAACACATGCTGTTTCCCCTCAGCCTGATTGATTTGGCATTCAGAGTACAAGCTCACAGCAGAGGGGCTGGGCCTGTCCAGTCAGGAACTGCAGTCAGAGACTTCCCCTGCTACTTGCTGGGAAAGAACATTAGGAATGCCTTTCAGTGCCTTGCTTCCTGAACGAGCTCACAGTAGCCAGGCGGCCCAGGGCAATCCCACCATATTTCACTCTCACCGCTGTAGGAATTCAGATGCAGCCCAAGTACAGCAGCACGAGGGACATGCTGGATGATGATGGAGACACCACCATGAGCCTGCATTCTCAAGCCTCTGCCACAGCTCGGCGTCCAGAGCCCCGGCGCACAGGTACCCTGTCTCCTGGAGTCCAGATAGACCAGAGCCCTTGTGAAATGTGTGAGATGAGCTATCCCTCCTAGAAATTTGTACATTTAACTTCTATCTTATAACTTTATTTCCACGTCCTGTGACATAGTAGTGATTTTTTTTTTTTTTTTCCAGTTCTATTCAGTTCCATAATTCACACAGTTAGAGAAGGATTTTATTTCCTGGGCCACTCAGCCAATCTAAAGGTAAAATATGACTTCAGTTCTAGTGAAAAGGACTCACATGGTAATATACACAGGACTAGGTTCTAGGTCCTAACCCAGGTACGCCACTTTCCTTCTGTGTAACCTTGGATGAGTTATTTAAGTATCCTGGTAGCATCACACTCTTTATTTATAAAATATTAATGGCCACAAACATGTATAAAGGGCTCATTATGTGCTGGCAGTGTTTTAAATACTTTAAGTATATTAATTCATGTTAATTTGAATTAATATTAAATAGAAGTAATAAAACTTTCTTTACAAGGTGGTTGTGAGTACTGAGAATGATAAATTATGTAAAATATTTGAATGTCTGTCTGAACTGATATAGACTGACACAAAATTGCTGAAAGGAACACTTGAGGAATTCTCAAGAAATGAAATGTTGAAAGGAATCCCACATTTTAGCTTTCATTCAGTGCCTGTATTTTAATATGTCCTTTCCCTCTGATTATATCATCGTTTTCTTCGCCTTTGTAAATTTGGATATACATTTAAAAAATTTTAAAAAAAGATCCTGTTCCTTATTTCTTTATGGAATAACTTTTAGTTTTCCTTCCTTTCTCCTACTAAACCCTCCATTCACTTTCTATTTATTAAATGACTCTCCACCTGAGACCTACTAATATGGCTCTTTTTTTGTTGTTGTTGTTTTTAAACTAAACTACCCAGTAAGCTGTTAAGGGACACTGGGGATTTCCAACCTCTTTGAAATGAAGCTAAGTGACAAAGTAGGGATGTCAGCTTCTGTAGCCACAGGATATGTGTAATAGGATACAAAGTGTTTTCCTCAAAAAATCTTAGGAAGAGTCCATTCGTAGGGCTGTGGTTTTGAGTAGCTTGTATATAGCTTCATTTTCCACCTTTGACTGGAGCCAGAAGTCTCTCAAAGATTAGTGATCAGCATAATCAGGAACAGCATGTACAAAAAAGTTCTGCTGAGGTTGAAGGGTGGAGAGGGACGTGGAGCAAGATAAAACACTAGCTGCAACATCTGGGAGCTTCTTTGTAAGAAATGGAAATTGAAATAGTAGGAGTAGAGATTACAAAGAATTGTCTTGGAGGAAATCATCTAGAAATAGTTATCTTACGCAACATGTATGAGATCTTGTTTTCATCTTTTTATGGTAATACAAACATTCAGGGGAATGCCATCATAGAAGTATAATTATTTCTTAGATAAACATATCTGATATACCTTCGCTGATAAAAATAACAGCAGAAATCACTCAGAAATTTTTGGCAATGTGGAGGATTCAGATTCAACATACTGATGTGACACCATTAAGAGCTGTCAACTTTTATTTTTTAGAATTAATACAAATCACATTCATTTAATTTCTAGACTTTTGTCAATAACAATTGACATAACAACTATGTTTGTGTTTACAAATGACAAACAAGATAGTAAAAATGCCAAACAATTAAGATAGTGAAAATGAAAAACAACAAGCTCATATATTTTTCACAAACTTATGTTTGGGGTCATGTTATCCTAGTACGGAGGATATAATGTCCAATGTGATATGGTCCCTGTTCATAAGGAAATTGAAAGTCTAATACAATTCTCAACTGAGGAATAAGTATAATAAGGTGTTATGTTAGAAGCATGTACAGTACAGCCGAGAGCTTGGTTATGTCTACCTAATTAAGTAGTGGAGCTTAGGAAAGGCTTAACAGGAGGAGCGACTGTGGAATGGAGTTAATTTTAAGATCTTCCACATAATGTGGAATCAGGAGTGAGGATGTTTGAGAGGCTGGGGAACACTACAGACAGAGAGACATACGAAGGGAAAGTCATGAAGGTTTTCAGTAGCTTTGTATTTTTAGAGAACTATAAGCAATATGTATGGCATAGGTGTAGAGTTGGAGGAGGGAAATTTGGCAAGGGGGTAAGTCTGGCAAGTTAAGGAGGGATTTTCGGGCATGCTGATCTATTTTAATTCTATTCAATATTTAAAATGAGGTCAATGCAGGATTTAGATAGGGAGAAACAGAATTTTGCATTTGGGGAAGACCTTCCAGGCTGCAATGGAAAGGATAGGTTGAAAGTATATGAAACTGGATGTGCCGATACCAGATTTTTTCACTAGTCGGGTACAAGAGTAAAAGAACCTGAACTGAGGCAGTATAGTAAAAATGAGGAAAAAGAATCAGATATGAAAGATGTCGAGGCGATGGAGTGATTGGTTACATGTGAGGAGACAAGGAAAAGGACCTCGGTGGTAGGTTGACTAGGTTCTGTCTGACGTAATGTGGATGGTACTGCTGTTTAACTGAGACAGAAACTATAGAAGGGACAGGAAAGGTGATGAATTGAGTTTGAGTTTAAGGGGTCTGTAGAAGGAGGGACATGCATTTGGAGCTGTCCAAAGACACCTGTATATGCAGGATGTGGGTTAGGCTACACATATTTGTGGGAATTACTGGCATAGTAATTAAATAAATAAATAAAGTAGATGAGGTACCTAAGTCATTAAGTAAAATAAACGGATAGTAACTAAAATGTATGGGAGTGAGTGAGATCACTGAGGGAGGGAATGTAAAATGAAAAGATGAATGAACAGAAGAATAGAGTGTCAAGGAGAAAATCTGAGGGAATATCAGGACCTGAGGAGCAAGAAGAATGAAAGATTCCAAAAGGAGCTACTAGGGATGAACAGCAGAGAGTGGTAGAAGCAGGAATCTGGGAGAGAGACATCAAGGGCATCAAGAGACAATAAAGTCAAGAGTAATGGAAAATCAGAGTAATGGAAGAGACAATAAATTCAAGAGTATTGGAAAAGTCAGTGATGATGACTGTGAGTTTTAAAAACAACAAATAACAAATACTGCAGAGAGTTTAAGTAAAAGGAAGACTAAAAATGAGTATTTAACAATTTATCAAAAAGGAAGAAAATATTTAGTTTTGATAGCAGTAGTTTAAAAAGGAACTGATGGTTACATAATAAAATGAACAATTACTTTGGTTAAATAATTTTAAAAAATTTAATAATAAATTCAAGTTCCTCTTTACCCTTGTTCGCATTAATTACAGTACTATTGCATTTCCCAGTGTCTTAGTTTTATTTCCTCAATTACAGCATAAATCTCTCATCACAGTCATGACATAAATCACTGTTAACTGATTCAAGAACTTTTTAAATCAAACCTACTCATGACAAGACATTATGGGATGTACTAGAGGAGCCTGTTTTTCAGGTGCTTAGAGAAGTGGAAGGAATGCTCTAAATCAATAGTTGTAGTAAATGTCATTTAGTGCTGTTAAATCAGTGTTGGAGGCCACAGAAGCAATATAGGAATGAATGAGTTACTGATTGAGTTTAGTTTTACAAGTTCCCGGAGGAAGTGACGTGATCTGGACCCATGAGGCTAACGAGTATAATGGGATCCTATTAGGAGGAGCCTGATACAGCACACTAAGAAACTGACTAGAACAGAATGAGCCTTGGGAAATATTTCTTCCTATGGAAGAGAGGAAGTGTGATTAAATTTTACTTTCAAAATTCATCTTGCTGGTAGAGTGGATATTTCATAATGTAGAAGTGAAAAGTTGCAAGCTGCTGTCATTCTATGATTCCAGATGCACTACCATGTACAAATATTGATCTGAGATGTGCTGGGAGGATAGGAAGATGATTGAAAATGTCCAGCTCTGGAATCCGTCTGCTTGGGTAGCTCTGTTACTTACCAGTTGTGCAAACTTAGGCAACTTCAGTGACTCCTTGGTAATTGAATTTTTGCAAAAGTTGCTTCCAATGAAATAAAGTGTATCTAGAACACACTTATAGTTACTATTAGTAACTATTTCTTTCTCTCTGTTTTTCAATATTCTCCATTCAATCATTCTATATAAAGACATGAAGAAACACAATCCTGGGGAGTTACTAATAGTTCATTAGTAACTATTACTAATAGTAGCTGTGTGTTCCTGAATAAGCTGTCTAAACCCGCTAGGCCTCAGTTCCCTACCTGTAAAATGAGATAATAATATCTACCTTATAGGGGTTGTTTGTGAGGCTAGATGAGAACATTCATATAAGACATTTTTCTCAGTAACTCAAGAAATTTGAGAAATTATCATTAATGGTAATGTTGTTTTTGAATTATATTTCAGTAAATAGTGTCTGTTGATGGGGATATAAAATTGCATCACCTAAATTTTACTGAAGAGGAAAAATATAATTAAGTTTCTAAATACTGTGAATTAGAACCTCAATGATATTCTAGAAATAGCTCGTATGTTCTTAGATATATACTTTTTTCAAATAATAGGAAGGATAACACACATTTTCATTTAGAGAGTATGAAAATAGCAATATTTGAAATAGATTCATAAGAGAAAAGAAACCTGCATTTACATTAACACAGAAAAGCAGACTCAACCCATGAACTGAGACTCCTGTGAGGTTTCCCATGCACTACATGTGAGGATTAAGGAAACAGAGACATTTACATTTCAAAATACAAAGGGATCAAAAAGTGCTTCCTGAAATATTGTGTACATTGCCACCAGTTTTGCCCCCATGTCTCCGTGACTCCTGACTGGCTCACGGAAAAGTGTGCAAAGTATGGCGTTAAGCATAATGATTTAATCCTAGCTCTACAACTAGTTTGCAATGTGCACATTATTTAAACTCTCGGTGTCTCCTCCAGCTTTTAAGACCTTTTGCATTCATAGGTATACTAATAGACTGTATATGGTAATGTCAGCTTAGTTTCTTGGGTGGAAAACAAAATTTTCTCTTTCTGATGCCTGATGAAGGGTAACTGGTTCAGTTTGACAACTCTCCACCCACAAAGTTTCATATAATTACACAGTAATTGGTATCCAAAATTTGACCCTAGCACAAAGGCCTTTTATACTATGGTTATACTAAGAGGATACAGGAAAGGTTTTTTTTTCTATATATATCTTATTATTCTTAGGGATGTTTATATCATTCCTTGGCCTATCCACACCCCTTTCTAAATATGCCTCAGGAGAGAGCAAAGGGGTTCTCTTCCAAAAAATAAAACCACAATAAAGCCAAGCCAAACTCAAGCAACCTCCCAGGCATCTTATTTTTGTGAAAATCTTTCTCGTGTTAGGGTGAGGGTGATCCCTGGAGAGAGACTTCAGTATGATTAGGAGCACTTGGAATAAAACTGAGAAACATTAGACTCATAGTTAGAAGAAAAACATCTAGAAGGAAAAATAGCATCAAAGAAAAAGAAAAAGTGAAACTTTCAACTTCATGGACTTTCTGTCATGGGAGCTTGGTTTCGTGGAAGATGAACTACCCAGGAATTGTGTTTATCCATGTCTTTATATAGAATGATTGGATGGAGAATATTGAAAAAGAGAGAGAGAAAGTGAGAGAGCAAGAGGGAGATGGGAAGAGAGAAGAAAAATTTCAAAATGGGAAAATTTGATCAGAGAAAGAGGATTTCTTAGAAGAGATTTTTAAAAACCTTTTAAAGCCTATTATACTTCTTTTATTTTTTCTGAGCTAGAGGCAATCTTAGGAAGGATCCTGTATTTTTTTTTCTTTTCATGAATATAATTATCATTGAAAGATGTTCTGATTTCTAAAGTCCAGGCCATCACTTCACAGAAGGAATTTAAGTTCACTCTTTTTGGTCCTTTGGGCAGAAAAACAACACCTCCTGTGTCCTCGATATTATGCAAGGGAAAGCAGATTTATTTCATTTCATTTCATTTCATTTCATTTCTACTTTTGAGAGAAGATCTTGCTCTGTCACCCAGGCTGGAGTAGAGTGGCATGATCATGACTCACTGCAGCCTTGACCTCCCAGGCTCAAGCAATCCTCCCACCTCAGCCTTCTGAGTAGCTGTGACTACAGGTGTGTGCCAACATGGCTGATGAATTTTAAAACTTTTATAGAGATGGGGATGGGGTCTCACTATGTTGCTATCTTTTGTAGAGATGGGATCTCACTATGTTGCTCAGGCTGGTCTCGAACTCCTGGCCCAAAGCAATCCTCTTGCTTCAGTTGGGAGGATTCCAAAGTGATGAGATTACAGGCCTCAGCCACCATGCCTGGCGGAAAACAGATTTATAAAGAGATAAATAAGTTGGTTGACTGTCATAGTTCTTCTTCTTCTTTACCTCTTATTTTTAATTTCAGTCAAATATTAATTATAAGAAGTAACAGGATTTTAAAAATTATTATGACTTTGAGATGTGTATTAATGTAACTATGTTTGAGTAGGGGTAGGTAGGCATATAACACAGATATTTGTATATAATGGACCTATTCATTCATTTATTTAAATTTAATTGAGCTTATTTCAACTACTGCACTAGGAACTGGGTTACAATAATGGCTAAATAGATATTTTCCAAGAAAGAGCTTAATTTTTCCTGGAGTAAGACAGATATAAGCTAAATGAAGTAACAAAGATATACAATATATTTAATGGTAATAAGGGGTATGTGGAAAAATAAAATCACCATGGTGATGAGCTCACATAAGCACTTTTAACTGTGGAACCTAGAAATATCCATATGATTAACTTTCTTGGACTGTATGGAAGTTTACAAATACAGGGTTTTGGAGAGGATGATTCACCCGAACTATATTCTGCCTCTAATCTTTTTTTTTTATGTTCTGCTGATCTGAAATACTTTTACAGTCAATACCATGAGAAAAGCATCCTTTTCCAGAAAAACCAAGACTAAATCACATAGCTCAGTTAACTGAAGGAAACAGGAGGAAGCAAATCTCCCTGAGATTTGTTCATGATATAATCTCACAAAAGTCAGGGTATAGAAACCACTATGGCTGGGAGATGTATTTAGCTGAGTCTGTTTTCTGCTGACATAGATGTTGCTGAGAAGTCAATGGACTACAAACAAACAAAAACCCTGTAAGCTTAACTTTGGAGAACCCAATTATCTCTTTAAAACTTAGTTTAAGTCATATTAATTTTTTATAATTTCATTTTTCAATTATTTAAACTGTCAAAGATTTACTCAACCCTTATGTCCCAGGCACTACTTTCAGTAGTGGAAATACACTGGTGGACAAGATAGACAAGATCATTGTTTTAATGGAATGTTAAATGGAGAGAAAGGAGACAGGCAAAAAGAAACAAAGGTCATGAAAATATTACCTAGTACAGGGTGAGTGATATGCTAGAGATGGACTCATGGACCTCTTCCAAGGATGTGCCATTGAAACTGAAATTAATGCAGAGGCAGAAGTAGGGCTGATACAAGGTACTTAGGGACAAGCTTGATCAGATCAAGGATTAAACGGAAGGCCATTGTGAGTAGTACATGTAAGTGAGAGGAAAATAGTTCAGAAAGGGATGAAAGAGCTAAGGAAGGTCTCAATAAGACTAATGCAGGATTTAATTTTAAGTGCAATAAAGCTTTTGAAGTTTTTAAGTAGGGAAGTAGCATAATAAAATTGCCATTTTTTTTTTTTAAAAAAGGAGCAATCTGTGAAAAGTGATTCGGATTTTATTCTAAATGTAATGAGAGCTATTTATAAAGGAGATGATTGCTAAGAAATAAGATTCACATTTTAAAATACATCAGTATGTCTACTCTGAGACTTTAACTTATTTTCCCTACTAGATTGTAAGTTCCAGAGGATAGTAATCATATTGTCTATTTCTATATTCTTTACTAGTTATCATTCCCCATTTGGAAATAATGTTTCATATAAATCTCTGTACGTGGTAGCTCATGCCTGTAATCCCAGCATTTTGGGAGGTGTCGTAAGAGGATCACTTGAGCTCAGGAGTTAGAGAACAGCCTGCAGCCTTGGCAACATGGTGAAACCTCATCTCCAACAAAAATATAGAAAAAAAAATTAGCCAGGCGTGGTGGCACGTGCCTGTAGTTCCAGCTACTCAGGAGCTGAGGTGGGAGGATTGCTTGAGCCTGGGAGGTGGAGGTTGCAGTGAGCCGAGATCACGCCATTGCACTCCAGCCTGGAAAATCTCTGTACCTGGGATGTTTTATGTATAGGACCTTGCTAGAAGGAAAAGAATTTTCTTTCAAAAAGCCCCTCTGAACTCTTTAATCTTTCTGTTTCAGAACGTGACTTGAATTCTCAGTGAAGTAGAACTAACGGGCTACAAAGAGATGAGAGTTTCTTTGAGGATTTCACTCTCTCTTTGTTCATTTTTATCACAATGCTAGATGCTAGCTGCACCTGAGTGAAAATCTTCCCTGTCAGATACATTAGGTCATTCAGACTCAGATAGGTGACCTCACTAGGTGAAGGGTCTACCCATGACTTACAGTAAAATCTCTGCAATTACTAGTCAAACTTACGAGAATGGAGGGCAAGGAAAGCATGTTTGCCACAGTTTTAAAAATTATTTAACTGTTGCAAAAATAGTTTAGATTCATCTTTCAGAAATTGATGATCCTGTTTCTTTATAATCTATTTTTGAAAAAATATAAATCAAATGAATGAACAAACAATATCCTTACAAAAGAGGGACTTTCAATGAAGCAATTCCACAGAAAAACAGTAAAAGTATTACTTCCCATTACTAACATGCAATTTGCCCTTTAGAAAAAGCATATACAGAACTTGGGGGGAGGGGGATGTTTTTCAAAAGTAACAGCAAATTAATTTCATCTTTCCCCTGATTATGTAAAAAGTTGTCCCTTGCTAAGGTTCAGAGATTCTCAGGCTGTGTTTCAGACATTTTCATGACAGTCTTTCATAATTAGAATTTTGACAAGCAGAAGGTTGTACAAACAACCACATAAAGATAATGCATAGTGTGCTTCAGTGCAAAGTAAGACTTGAGAGGTGGATACAAATGGGTGGGGCTTGTGAGAAAATCTAGCTGTGATAAGTGAGGCTTGCACTGAGCCTTATGATGATGTTTCTGAGGACAGAAATCAAGTTATCCAGCCCCCGTTACTGTTGTCCAGCATAATTTGTTCCCGTGCAGAATCAACTCCTCTCCCTTACCTGTTATTGACTTAGATGCAAGAGGAAGAAAAAGCCAAACCCTGCTTTCTCTTCTGTTCCCTGCAGAGCACAGGGCTCCCTCTTCAACGTGGCGACCAGTGGCCCTGACCCTGCTGACTTTGTGCTTGGTGCTGCTGATAGGGCTGGCAGTCCTGGGGCTTTTGTGTAAGTCTGCGCTATGACCTGGGGGAGGATCCTGGTTCCAAGGTTTGTCTAGGATGAGAAACACTTGTCATGGATTTGTTTTTTAAGCTTTAATTCTTTAGCCTTTGGAAAACTCAGTGTATCTTTTTTTAAATGTAGCTATTTAAATGGTGAATAATGGAAGAAGAATTAAAATATGACAATCAGTTGCCAACTAGAATTAAACATTCTGTTTGAGATAAGAAGGGTTTTGTCTGGTTGTTTATATGTCACTGTCTAAAAATATCATTTATTTTAAATAAATGCATGCTTCAGCCCTCTCCCATTCCACAAAATACTAGGGTATCAGAGGTTTTGACTCTGAGAATACAAGGTTCAGTGGGCCAGTGCAGAATATACTACCCATAGAGCCACACGTACCGTCAATACAAGGAGAGTAGGTAAACTCCTTCATCATCGTATATTTTAAAGGCCAGGAAGTTATACAGTCATTTTATAAAAACTTGTGAAAATCAAATCGGAAAAATGCATATCTAAAAATATTTAAATTTCAAACTAGTAAAAACAAGTTAAAAACCTTAAAAAAGAAAGTGGATGAATTTGCCTCAGTAGGTGAAGACCCCACAGCAATGTTTCCTAAACAGCTGAAGAAGGTTATTCAAAGAAAAATGTTACATAGAAGAGCAGATTTTAATGTCAAAAACTGGATTTTACAGGAATTTTAAGACTTTTGTTTGTATCTTATATTTCAAAACTACAAATAATTTCTTATTGCCCCCTTTGATCCCAAAAGTTTTATTTCATTGTGATATAACTATTATTTTGCAACCACCATTATTCTTGCAAATACAGAGGAACTCTCATGATTCGTGAGAGATTTCTATACTTAGATGTAGAGACCTGAATTTCAAATCTGAATGTTGAAAATTTCTAGTAAAATGACATTAGGAATTTACTTGTTCTCAATGATCCTAATTGCAAACTGTAAAATCATGGAAAAAATAATAACACTATTTCAATAACTGAATAAGTAACAATATATGGTATATTGTCAATACTCAATATAATAACCAACATATAAACAGATTGGTGGTTTTATGTTGAGTAACATTTGAGAGTATACATAAAAGGATTTATCAAGTAGTAAATATAGGTTGAGAATTTATTCTTGAAGTTGGGAACTAATATTATAACTCCACATTTCTATTTATGTATTTATAAATAGATATAGATAAATTATTTAAATTATACATTTTTTTAGGCCAGGAATGGTGGCTCATGCCTGTAATTCCAGCACTTTGGGAGGCTAAGGCAGGCGAATCGCTTGAGGTCAGGAGTTGGAGACCAGCCTGGCCAACATGGTGAAACCTCGTCTCTACTGAAAATATAAAAATTAACCAGGCGTGGTGGTGGGCACCTCTAATCCCAACTACTCAGGAGGCCGAGGCACGAGAATCACTTGAACCCAGGAGGTGGAGATTGCAGTGAGCCAAGATCACACCACTGCACTGCACTCCAGCCTGGTGGACAGAGTGAGACTCATCTAAAAAAAATTTATATATCTATATATATATAGAACTCATCTAAAAAATATATATATATTTTTTAGAAAAAAAATATATATATATTTTTAAGAAAAATATATATTTTTTAGAAAAAAATATATATTTTAAATTAATATAAATATATATTTTTAGAAAATATATAATTATATATGTTGTATATATATAAAATTATATATATTTCTAATATATAATAATATTATATAAATATATAAATATATTTTAAAATGTATATATGTGTGTGTGTATATATATAACCATTGAGGTATGTCCTTCATACGCCAATTTTGCTGAATGTTTTAATCATAAAGGAATGCTGTATTTTTTCAAATGCTTTTTCTACATCTATTGAGATGATCATATGATTTTTGTTTTTAATTCTGTTTATGTAATGTGTCATATTTATTGACTTGTGTATGTTAAACCATCCCTGCATCCCTGGGATAAAACCCACTTTATCATGGGGTATTATCTTTCTGATGTGCTGTTGGAATCAGTTAGCTAGTCTTTTTTTTTTTTTTTTTTTTTTGAGATGGAGTCTTACACTGTCACCCAGGCTGGAGTGCAGTGGCACAATCTCGGCTCAGTGCAATCTTCGCCTCCTGGGTTCAAGTGATTTTCCTGCCTCAGCCTCCCGAGTAACTGGGATTACAGGCACCCACCCCCACGCCTGGCTAATTTTATGCTTTTAGTAGAGACAGGGTTTCTCCATGTTGGTTAGGCTGGTCTCAAACTCCCCACCTCAGGTGATCCACCTGCCTCGGTCTCCCAAAGTCCTGGGATTACAGGCATGAGCCACCGCGCCAGGCCTCAATTAGCTAGTCTTTTGTTGACGATTTTTGCATCAATGTTCATCAGGGATATTGGTCTCTAGTTTGTTTTTTGTTCTGTGCTTTCCTGATTTTTGTATTAGTGTGATACAGGCCTCATAGAATGATTTAGGGAAGATTCTCTTTCTCTATTTTTGGGAATAGTTTCAGTAATATTTGTACCAATTCTTCTTTGAATGTCTGATGGAATCCAGCTGTGAATCCGTTTGTGAATGGAGTTTCATTTGTTGGCAGTGTTTTTCTTACTGTTTCAATTTCACTACTTCTTACTGTTCTGTTCATAGTGTCTATTTATTCCTGGTTTAATCTAGGAGGGTTGTACATTTCCAGGAATTTGTCTATCCCCTCTGGACCTTGTTTATAGTAGCTTTGAGTGATCTTTTGTATTTGTGTGGCATCAGTTGGAATATCTCTCATTTCATTTGTAATTGAGATTATTTGGATCTTCTCTCCTTTTCTTGATTAACCTTGCTAATATTCTATGGATTTTATTATCTTTTCAAAGAATTTCTTCTACTGGATTTGGGTTTGGTTTGTTCGTGTTTCTCTAATTTCTTGACGTGTGACCTTAGATGGTCTATTTGGGGTTTTTCAGACATTTTGATGTAGTCATTTAATGCTATGAACTTTCCTCTTAGCACCGCTTTTGCTGTATGCTAGAGGTTTTCATAAGTTGTGTCACCAATATTATCGTTCTGTTCAAAATATTTTTTAATTTCTATCTTGATTTTGTTGTTTACCCAAAGATCATTCAAGATCAGATTATTTTATTTCCATGTATGTGTGTAGTTTTCAGGGTGCCTTGTATTGTTAATTTTCAATTTTATTTCACTATGCTTGGAGAGAATACTTGATGTAATTTCAGTTTTCTTAAATTTATGGAGACTTGTTTTGTGGCCTATCATATGGCCTTTGTTGGAGAATGTTGCATGTGCTGATGAAAAGAATGCATACTCTGCAGTTGTTGGATGGAATGTTTTGTAAATATCTGTTAAGTCAATTTGTCTTAGGGTATAGTTTAAGCCCGTTGTTTCTTTCTTTGTTCTTCATTGTTGACTTTCTGTCTTCAAGACCTGTCTAGTGCTGTCAGTGGAGTATTGGAGTCCCCCACTATTATCGTGTTGCTGTCTATCTCATTTTTTAGGTCTAGTAGTAATTGTTTTATAAATTTGGGAGCTCCAATGTTAGGTGCATATATATTTAGGGTTGTGATACTTTTCTGTTGGATTATTCCTTTTATCACTATATAATGTCTATAATGTCTCTCTTTGTTTTATTTTATTTTATTTTATTTTTTCCTGTTGTTGCTTTAATGTCTGTTTTGTCTGATAAAAGAATAGTTACTCTGGCTCATTTTTGTTTTCCATTTGCATGGAATATCTTTTTCCACTTCTTTACCTTAAGTTTATGTGAGTCCTTATGAGTTAGGTGAGTCTTTTGAAGACAGCAGATACTTGATTGGTGAAATCTTATCCATTCTGTCATTCTTTATCTTTTAAGTGAAGCATTTAGGTCATTTACATTCGGTGTTAGTACTGAGATGTGCAGTACTGTTCTATTCATTATGCTAGTTCTTGCCTGAATATCTTGTTTTATTGTGTGTGTGTGTGTGTGTGTGTGTTATTGTCTTATAGGTCCTGTGAGATTTATGTTTTCAGGAGATTCTATTTTGGTGTATTTTGAGGTTCTGAGATTCTGTTTCAAGACTTAGCACTCCTTTTAGCATTTCTTGTAGTGCTGTCTTGGTAGTTACAAATTCTCACAGCATTTGTTTCTCTGAAAAAAACATTATCTCTCTTTCATTTATGAATCTTAGTTTCACTGGATACAAAATTCTTGGCTGACGATATTTTGTTTGAGGAGGGTCAAAATAGGACCCCAATCGTTTCTGCCTTTTAGGGTTTCTGATGATGTAAGCTATTAATCTGATAAGTTTTCATTATAGATTACCTGATGTTTTTGTCTTACAACTTTTAAGATTCTTTCCTTCATCTTGACTTTAGATAACATAATGAATATTTACCTAGGTGATAATCTTTTTGCAATGAATTTCCCAGGTGTTTTTTTAGCTTCTAGTATTTGAGAGATTGTTTGGAGGTTCTAGCAGGAGAGTGCAACTACTTGTATACCCTTGACCAGACTCGTCCTCCTCTATCGGGTATAGTCATCCTCTTCGACCATGTGCATTCAGGAGGGATGCACCTGGAGCAGTGAGGGAGGAAGGGGACACATGCCTAGCCAGCCAGATCAGCCAAATGAACACTGGCAATCAATGGGGTGACAGATATCGCAGCCAGAGAACCCTTACATCCTGAGCTTCTAGTGTTTGAATGTCTAGATCTCTAGGAAGACTGAGGGTTTTTTCCTGGTTTGTCCCCTCAAATAAGTTTTCCAAACTTCTAGATTTCTCTTCTTCCTCAGAAACAATTATTCTTAGGTTTGGCCATTTACGATGGCTCCAACTTACTTGGAGACTTTGTTCATTTTTTTTTTTCTATTATCTTTGTCTTTGTCAGATTGGGGTAATTCAAAAGCCTTGTCTTCAAGCTCTGAAGTTCTCTCTTCTTGTTCTAGTCTATTGTTGAAACTTTCTAGTGCATTTTGTATTTCTCTAAGTGTGTCTTTCATTTCCAGAAGTTGTGATAGTCTTTTCTTTATGATATTTATTTATCTGGATAATTTTTAAAATCCATATCCTATATTGTTTTTTAAAATTTGTTTAGGCCAAATGTGGTGGCTCATGCCTGTAACCCCGGTACTTTGGGAGGCTGAGGAGGGCAGATCACCTGAGGTCAGGAGTTCAAGACCAGCTTGGCCAACATGGTGAAACCTCATTTCTACAAAACTATAAAAATTAGAGAGGCATGGTGGTGGGCACCTTTAATCCCAGCCACTTGAGAGGCTGAGGCAGGAGAATCAAGTGAACCTGGGAGGTGGAGGTTGCAGTGAGCCAAGATCACACTACTGCATTTCAGCCTGGGCAGCAGAGTGAGATTCTGTCTCGAAAAGAAAGAAAGAAAACCATAAATAAGTTTCTTTAAGTTGGTTTTCATTTTTCTGTGGTATCTCCTTGAGTAACTTAATAATCAGCCTTCTGAATTCTTTATCTGGCAATTTGAAGATTTCTTCTTGGTTTGGATCCATTGCTGGGGAGCTAGTGTTATCTTTTGGTGGTGTTATAGAGTCCTGTTTTGTCATATTACCAGAATTACTTTTCTGTTTCCTTCTCATTTGGGTATATTGGGTATTTCAGTGAAAAGATCTGGAACACACAGGCTGCTGTTCAGATTCTTTCATCCCATGGGGTGATCCCTTGATGTTGTGCTCTCCCCCTTCCCCTAGGAATAGGACTTCCCTAGAGCCAGACTGCAGTTATTGTTATTCTCTTCTGGGTCTAGCCACTGTGGGTGCTACCAGGCTCCAGGCTGGTGCTGGGGAATGTCTGGAGAGTCCTGTGATATGATCCATCTTCAGGTCTCCCATCTGTGGGGCACCTGCTATGATGAAGTTGGCAAGGAAGTGAAGTAGACTCTGTGAGAGTCCTTGGTTGTAGGTATGTTTAGTGTGCTGGTTGTCTTGAATGCTGGTTATGCTAGCAGTGAAGTTGTCAGATGGACACACTCAGGACCTCTGGTTAGCCAGGATGTTGCAGGCAGTGGAATTAGCTGTTGTCTTCTCCCTCCTTGGAGCAGGGTTATTCTGTCCTGAGTTACTCTAATGGTTTGAGTTGGTTGGCCTCCAGCCAGGAGGTGGTGCTTTAAAGATAGCACCAGCTGCAGTAGTAGACAGGAGATGTAAGCTTGTTCTAAGTTTGCCAGGATAAGTATTCAGGTTTCTCAGGTGATGGGCGGGGCCGTACAGCTCCCAAGGGTTTATGTCTTTTGTGTGTGGGTACCAGGGTGGGTAGGAAAAAACATCACATGGGGTCAGGGTTAGGCAGGTCTGAGCTCACACTCTCCTTGGGCAGGGCTTGCCATGAATGCTGTGGTTCATGAGGGTTGCTTCTCAGGGTATTACGGCTGCCCCTGCTGTGTCATACAGGTCGCCAGGGAAGTGGGAGAAAGCTGGCAGTGATAGGCCTTACCCAGCTCCCACATAGCTGGTGAGGCAAGTCTTGTTCCTCCCATGCCCCACCAACAACACGGAGTTTATATCCTGGCAGCTCATGCCTGGGGCTCTGATCTTGCCCCAGGCTACAACCCTTCCCACTCCCCACCTTCTCACACCATCTGTTACAGTTCCTGTGCTGATATCTGTAGCAGTTCCTCTTTGCCCCCTGGATCCTGCTTAAGAAAATTCATATCCAGTTGAAATTATTACAAAATTCATTTGGAAGCTTCTTTCATCCTGTGACTCCTCTTTAATTCCACTGGCTGCCTTGTCCAAGGACCCCTGTGAGACAAAGTCAGGGATGGCTTCCCTGGGCTTGAGCTGGAGAATGGGAGTGCCTACAGGACTCTTCCTTCTGCCTCTTCTACTTTTATATTTTGCATATATTTTATATTTGGCTCCCTATATCCATTTCTGTTCCAGGTAAGGTTAAATCCTTCTCATGTAACCCAGATTTTCAGGTTCCCCAGTAGGGATGTGCGTTCAGAGGCGGGTTTTCCCCCCTTCACACATTTGTGGCTGTCTTACAGAATTTTCAGTATTGAGTTGCTTCCTTCAAAGGATCTGTGAATTCTTTCAGTTTTCCTGGTATGTTCCTAAGATGGTTCCTGGAGGAAAAGTTCACAGTGTGAGTCTCCTCACGCAGTTCTGTTGTCCAAGTGGGAGCTCCACCTTAGCCCTCTTAGCTGCCATTTTCTCCCCACGACTTCACATTTTTAGACAGACTTAAAGAAATTAATTTGCCCAAGGTGATACAACTTTTCATATATGTACTAGAGTCCAAACTTGAATATAGGCAATATGAGATCTCAGAGCCTGAGATACTAAAAAATATACTGTTTGTTTTCCCCATAGGCAGAAAATGGAAATAAAACATAGAAATAAGCTGTCCAGTCTGACTTGGTCATTTGGGTTAGTTTTTCAGTACTACCAGCTCTCCAATACTGGTCAAGGCACCATTTCTCAAATGGAAGAAAGATTAGGAAATACATCCCGAGAGTTGCAATCTCTTCAAGTCCAGAACATAAAGCTTGCAGGAAGTCTGCAGCATGTGGCTGAAAAACTCTGTCGTGAGCTCTATAACAAAGCTGGAGGTAAGTGTGTCCTGGTCACTCTGTCCCCATGTTATCTGGCAACAGAGAGATGGATTTCCCACCGGTGAAAGTGAGAGTCAAGTATTATTTAACTAGAGGTCTGGCAAACTGAAAAAGGGTTTGGGCTTCCAGATCATGATCAGTTGTTGGGATCCTGTGATTCACATGTGCCTGTGATACCATACATCAAGGGACTCTTCAAATGCAGACATTTTAAAACAATACAAACAATTAACTATGAATAACCAAAATAAGACAACAAGTAAAGAAAATACAGGGTTATGTCTCAATTTACCTCAGCAGATGTTCTTACAAATTCTTTCCTAGTAAGAAGTAAGCAAACTCATAACTGTAGTTCTCAAATCTTAAAAATCATACAGGGACTAGTCCAAAAATGCAGATAACCTCAATCAAACTCAAGTTATTTTAATTCAGGATAACTTGGCTGGGTATCAGAAATATGTAGCTTATTAAGGACCACAGATGATGACAGTGCCAGTGGTAGGTGAACCACCATTGATAAATTTACTGCTGGAGAAGGCTAGGAGCATCGTTTCAGTGTGAGTGTGTGTGTATTCCTATTCTATTCTTTTCCAGTTTTGTGATAATCCACTTTATTCAAGTCAGCTCTCTCTTCTGCTCTCTTTATCATGCTTACTTAGGAAATGGCATACATGTTCAGGTTTCCACTTTTTATTTCTTTTTTAGGAACTCTGAAGGAGGGCAAAGTCTCCTCATCTACTATACACACACCACTTCCCACCTGAAACAGACATCCTGATTGCGTGGCTACCTAGGAAAAAATATTAATAGGCACAGTTTTACTTCTCTAAGTGATTCTTTCCTACATGACTAATGACCTCAATGGTCATAATGTCCTTACTTACTAATTTTTCTTTTTCTGTTTTTTTTGGGTGGGGGGAGATGGAGTCTCACTCTGTTGCCTAGGCTGGAAGGCAGTGACACGATCTCAGCTTGCTGCAACTTCCTCCTCCCAGGTTTAAGCAATTCCCCTGCCTCAGCCTCCTAAGTAGCTGGGACTACAGGTGTGCACCACCACACCCAGCTAATTTTTTTTTTTTGTATTTTTAGTAGAGATGGGTTTTCACTGTGTTGGGCAGGCTGGTCTTGAACTCCCAACCTCCAGTGTTCCCCCTGCCCCGGCCTCCCAAAGTGCTGGGATTATAAGTGTGAACTACCCCGCCTGGTGCTTATTTACAAATTTTCCAACAAAGCCCAGTGTGCATACTTTCCTTTGTTGTTTGCCATATCTTCAAAAAGATAATCTACTACTTGACAGGCTGAGGCTGGAAGATTGAGCTGAGGAGATCAAGACCAGCCGAGGCAACATAGTAAGACACTATCTCAGAAATTTATTTTTATTTTTATTTACTTATTTATTATTTATTTTTAAAGTCAGAGTCTCACTCTGTCACCTAGGCTGGAGTGCAGTAGTGTGATCTCGGCTCACTGCAGCCTCCATCTCCTGGGTTCAAGCGATTCTCATATCTCTTCCTGGGCAGCTGGGATTACAGGCGTGCACCACCACATCTGGCTAATTTTTGTACTTTTTTAGTAGAGACGGGGTTTCTCCATGTTGCCCAGGCTGGTCTTGAACTCTGGCTTCAAGTGATCTGCCCACCTCAGCCTCCCAAAGTGCTGGGATTACAGGCATGAGGCACTGCACCTGGCCAAAAAAAATTTTTTTTAAGGTAACCGAGATTTTCCTAACACAAATGGTCTTTCAAATTTTTATTTAGGTATATAAAAACAAATAAAAAGAGAAACTATGCAAATAAGTCATTTAATTTAAATATAAAATCTAAATGCAAATATATTAAAGTTTCTTCTCATATAAAATTCTTATATACTTTTGGTTAGATGTCAGTTCTCAGTTTTAATCTGCTACTTTTTATTTCTTACCCTCATCTTACCCATTATCCATCCATCCATCCACCCACTGAAGTGATATTTATCCATTTAGTTAGCACTACTACCAGTATGGTTGGAGTATTTACTGAATGCCTACTGATGCATATCTGACAAAACACACAGGGTGTCTACTCTCATGGACCACTTACTCTAGTGGAGTGGTAGAAGTAAGTATATTGAAAAACATAAAATAAGATGACTCATGTCTTTATCTGTTTGTGTTGCTATAAAGGAGTACCCGAGCCTGGGTAATTTATACAGAAAAGAGTTTTATTTGGTTAATGATTCTGCAGGCTGTACAGGAAGCATGGTGCCAGCATCTGCTTCTTCTGAGAGCCTCAGGCAGCTTTCACACATGGGGGAAAGTGCAGCAGGTAACAGGACAAGAGTCCAGGAGGCAAGAGACTGGGGAGGGATGTGCCAGGCTCTTTTTAACAATCAGTTCTCCTGAGACTAATAGAGCGAGAACTCACCAAGCTGTTCATAAGAGATCTGCTCCCTTGTCCGAGACCCCTCCCATTAGGACCCACCTCCAACACTGGGGATCAAATTCCAATATGAGATTTGGAGGAGACAGATGTTCAAACTGTATCAACCGGCATTTCTAAGTTTTCCCCCAATGTTCCCTATTTTAGTACTAAAAGTCCCAGATTCTGGGAAACTCTAGGTCCCAGGTATACAATAATGATTAGCCAGCCTAAATATAATGTATGAGAGATTAATCAATCCTATGAGAAATGAAGGTAAACAAGGCAAGAGGGATAAGGAATTCAAGGGTAGTCTGTTGCTACTTTAAATAGAACAATCATAAATCCTTAATTAAGATGATTATATGGTAGCAAAGACTTGAAAAGTTGAGGGAGTTAGCCGTGTAATACAGATAAATAACAAGCTTTATAGGTAAAACAGGAAACACAAGAGCCTTAAAACATGAATGTATCTGCATATTCAAGGAATAATAAGGAGCCCACGTGGTTGGAGTGGGAGACTAACAGGAGGCTAGGTAGAGATCATAGATAGCATTAGGTGCCTTTGCGAGAGATTTGGCTGCTATTTTGAGCAGATGAGGATTAATTATGGGGTCTTGAGCAGAGGAAATACATGATCTGGCATAAGTTTTTAAAGGCTTAATCTACAATTATGTTAAAATTAGACTGGAAGAGGAAAGAATAGCAACAGAGAAATCAGATAAGAGATGGCTATTACTAAAATGCAGGAGAAATATGATGGTTCTTCTAACTAGGATATTGTTTGTGGAAATGATTTTGCATGATGGGACACAAATGGATGTGTGAGAAATGAAAGATTCGAAAACAGCTCCAGAATTTGGGGGCAAAACAGCTAGAAGCATAGAGATGTGATCGAGTGAAAGGAGGAAGAATTCTCTGGCTACAAGGGGAAAATTGGAAACCAGGAATGCTGTTTGGGGAGCTAGATATATGAGGAAAAAATTCTGGGCCAGACATGTAAACAGACTTACATTCCTTTTGTCCAAAACACAGCAAAAATGAAGGGGAAATGGAGAGAGAAAGGACTGTAAGAAAAAAAAGACGATTAGCCTTTTTTTTTAGGATGACATATTTTCATGTATTTATGAAATGGAATGCCCTTCCTGGGGTTTTTGGCCTTGCTAATATGACCATTATTGTTTATTGATCCTAAATATCTGTAAACATTTGTTGCACTATATCATATACAAAAATAGTAATTTATAGGTATAGAGAGTTCATAGAAAGTGTACGTGTTCTGTTTAGAAATTAGTTGATATTTTGTTTTTCTTAGGTGTATGTGCCATGGACAAAACATTTGAGAACAGGTCATTTTCAGTCCACCCATTTTTCTGGCCAAAAATATGCATTTTCTTCTTTAAAAATATATATTTTTGAGGGGGAGCAGAGAGGTGGGGAAACAAGGTCTCACGCTGTTGTCCAGGCTGGAGTGGAGGGTGTATGTATATGTATATCTATTTATATCTAGGTCTATACCTATATCTATATGTACACATAGAGAAATGAATTTCTTCTGACCTGTATTCCATTTTCCTCCTCCAATGGTTTAAGTAATAGTATATTAAATATGTAGTTAGTTGAAGTTAAGGAGGCAAAGCGGTTTCTCTATTTCTGTCTCTTTAGTTACATCGTATCACTACCTATTTCACATAAGGCTCTCAGTCCTTTAGTCTCTCACCTTTTGATCTAATTGTCCCTTGCTTCCTCTTAAACATTCATTGAAAATTTCTCTATTAATTCCCATGCAAGTATGGGACTTGTTTTTACATAGAGCACATAGAGGGTCACTTGTATCTGAAGATCAAAGGTATTTAAGAAAACATTGTACGTGAGATGGGATTGAGGTATTAATGCACTGTACTAAAATTGCAGTTACATAGTTTTTATTTACTGAATCCAGAGCAGAATGAACCAGGATTCTCCTTGCTGAGTCCAGTTGCTGCTTCATAATCTTTTTCAGCACAGCACTCCAAGCACGTATTACCCATCTAAGTTCTCATAACACCAGGGACCACAGTTGAAACTGACCTTTATTAAATGCTTCTTATGCGTAAGTCACTGCACAAACTGGACTCTGGTTTTTACGTATTTAATCTTTACAATAATCCTTTTAGGTAAGCGTCATTCCCATTCTTGTTCTGTGTTTTAGGAAGTCTGAGGCTCCCTGCATTTTTGCTTGAGTCTCTCCAGGTTGTTACATTTCTCCTGGTAGAATTCCGAAGCAAGCAGACCTGTCCGAGAGAGTGCAAAAACTATTGACTTCCACAGCAAGTTTTTCACAACATGACAAAGATATCCTTCTAAGTTATTTATTTATTTAAATTTTGTTTTACTTCATGAAATATTTCAAATTTACAAGAAGATTAAATGATAATATAATACCTACCTGTGTATTAGCTACTGAGATTTTAACATGTTAACTAGGTTGCTTTTAAAATAAAGAAATTGTTATGGCTATGACTTGAGTTCTCATCCCACTACAAACCCTCAAGAGACTGGATTAGGTTCCTAACTAAATGACCCAAGGTCATGTATCCACATAGGGTTAAAACTATAGCGCTCAGGGCTTGGATCCTATATTTGCGATCCTTACCCATACTTCTCTGGCCTGGATGCCCAATTTAATTTGTGACACATGGAGATTCAGCATTCTAACTTCATGCTTGCCTCAGTATTTTTTTCCTTAAAAAGATTCCACATCATATCGGTATATACTGTCTTTTTTAAAACTTATTTTACTATTATGTAAGATAATTTTGAGAACATTATAGAAACTTTATTTCCTAAACACAATGTGGTTGGAGTTTCTGTACATTTCAACTGCTTTGTGAAATTGAATATTCTCTTCACGTGCTGAATTTCACAGGCAAGTGGCAAGAAAGTTCCAATGATTTATTACTAGATTCCACATAAGCAATTAGTGTCTGTTTTAATTTCTACAACATACTTAGGACCAGTTACAATTCCTGGCATTTAGTAGGTATCCAGTAAACATTGTAGTTATCATTGCCTGGGCAATTAATTAAATATTGAAGAGGAGTTAATTCTTTCTTAGGACATCAAATATTATGTAATTTCAAGAGAGGAGCAAGACAGACTCATACAGAAAATAACAATAAATTTGGCTTTTTTCCAAGCGCACAGGTGCAGCCCTTGTACTGACCAATGGAAGTGGCATGGAGACAAATGCTACCAGTTCTATAAAGATGGCAAAAGTTGGGAGGACTGTAAATATTTCTGCCTCAGTGAGAACTGTACCATGCTGAAGATAAACAAACAAGAAGATCTGGTAAGATTCTGAGGCTTTTCTCAAAAAGAGGCCTTAAAAGAGTTAAGCCAGAAGATTCTAAGGATCAAGAATATCGGTCCACAGTTTTTCACACTCGTTTCAATCAGGGCCTGAGTCTTATTCCTATTGCTTTGAATGGTCCCCTGAAGTAGCTAGAAGGAGTTGTGTTCTCCAGAAATACACACCCCTTAGAAAGATAAGCAATATCACTTTAAACTCCCCTCTCAGGGAGCAAAGGTAGAATGTCCTAACTTCTTTCCTGTTTTGGTTTGGGTAGAAAAGGAAGAATATTGATGCAATGTCAGAAACATGAAGATAGTACTGCCTGCTCTTCCATTTTAAAAGTGGCAAAACTTTTAAGTGGAAAATATTTAACTAAATTATTACCATAACCTGCAAATATATATCTTGCTTTCCAGAAGTTTACAGTCTAGGATAGATTGGTCAAGGCAAATGTGACAATAAAACTACAAATTGACATATATTGAGTTAGTACATGCAATTAAAGTACACAATTAAAATATGATTATTCCACTTTCTCTCATATTTATTATTGCCTTTGAATTGAAGTTCTTAAATAGTATGGCTGTTGCTTATTTATCATTGTTTCTCTAGAATTTGGCAGAGATTTTTCTTGATAAAGAGTAGGTTATCAACAAAGGGTTGTTTAATTGAATTAAATTCTCAGCTCACTATACAAATTCTTAACATCATTCTAGTTACTTCTTAATTTCTACCTACTTCCTGAAATCTGTGATGAAAGAACCTCTGTAATTTCTCTCAGCTACTAAGACATTTTATAACCCTTTCTCGATGGCTTAATTTAGGCATCAAGCGAGGCAATTTCTTTGACTAAGACAGTGTGCCCTAGCATAAACCCTCCTAATTTTTCTTATTCTCTTTTTTTTTTTTTTTTTTGAGACGGAGTCTCACTCTGTGGCCCAGGCTAGAGTGCGGTGGCCGGATCTCAGCTCACTGCAAGCTCCGCCTCCCGGGTTCCCGCCATTCTCCTGCCTCAGCCTCCCGAGTAGCTGGGACTACAGGCGCCCGCCACCCCGCCCGGTTATTTTTTGTATTTTTTAGTAGAGACGGGGTTTCACCGTGTTAGCCAGGATGGTCTCGATCTCCTGACCTCGTGATCCGCCCGTCTCGGCCTCCCAAAGTGCTGGGATTACAGGCTTGAGCCACCGCGCCCGGCCTTTCTTATTCTCTTTGATTCCTCTGCCTCCAGCATACACTGCAAACTCAGGTATAAAATTGAACTATACTATATCAGGCGGTAGGACATTTTCTTGTTAAATCTATGTAGTTATTTTTTATATGAACTTCATATATTTGTATATATTTAAATCCTTTTCATATGATTTGCTTTCAAAACTTTTAATTTGAAGGGACCCCCCCTATTTAATTAGAATAAAGATTTTCAACTACAGTTATTTTCACGTTACTCTATGACTATTGCTTGCTAATAGCTTCATTTACATTTGCAATAATCTCTCATTAAATCGGTATATTTTATTAATTATCTGAGGGGTTATGGATGTAACAATGAAACAAAGTGTATGGCCTTGAGAAACTCATTGTATAAATGGATAATTATAATAAATATTTAGATAATGTCTATGTTAAAATATTAGGAGTACACTGAGCCTGGGAGGTTGAGGCTGCAGTGAGCCATGATCGTGCCAGTGCACTCCAGCCTGGGAGACAGAGTGAGACCCTGTCCCCACCAATTCTCCAAAAATATGTATTAGGAGTGCAGAGTGAGACTAGATAGAAGGAAGCAAATCACTTTTTAAATGTAAACATATGTTAAATATGGATATTGGGAAAAGAATTACCATGTATAGGACTATACACATGTATGCACATAAATATTTATAAATAGAAATTTAAAAATTTCTTTCTCCCCTTCCTAGTCTAAGACGTAAATCATCCTTGCAAATTTTTCTTTTAGTTTTTTTCTTCCTTTCCCAGGCATTTATAAAGGTTGCTACCTCATTCCTGCACTTTTCCCTCCATATTCTTCCCTGTCCCAGAATCATTCCACATCTCTTTATTAGTCTTTCCCTCGTATTTTTATATCAACATTCATGTTTAATTCTGTGCCTTAAAAGCCATGGGTCAGGAATAAATCTGGGTTGATGTGATTTCTGCTTTCAGAATATCGATATGTGTTCCACATTTACTAAGACAAAACGAGTTATTAAACCCGGACAAATTTCGGACAGGCCTCAGCGTCGATGCTTTTTCTCTTAAGCATGTGAGCATCTGTGTGAAGCAGGACTGGTGTGTGCTTTGAGAAAAGCGTTGGCTGGCCCATGCATGTCTGTCCATGTGTGTGATCATGCCTCCAAAGCTAAAGCTTTTCTTGCGTGCTTTCTGCAGGACTTTGCCATGTTCCAGAGCCGCTCTCCGTTTTTCTACTCTTATTGGACAGGGCTTTTGCGCCCTGACAGTGGCAAGGCCTGGCTGTGGATGGATGGAACCCCTTTCGCTTCTGAACTGTAAGCCTTCAGGATATTTTATGGGAAAGGCATTTAACAAAGATATTTTGCTTGAGTGACAGAGTTCAAGAATTTGGTCCATCAAGTATTACTCAAACTTCTGCTTTGTACTGGATACTGTGTTTGCAGGAGGATGACTGAAGATATTTGAACCATAGTGCATCCTCATTTTGGTGTGTGTGTGTGTGTTTTGTTTGTTTGTTTGTTTTTTGAGATAAGGTCTTGCTCTGCTGCACGGACTGGAGTGCAGTGGTGCAATCTCTGCTCACTGAAATCTCTGCCTCCCAGGCTGAAGCTCTCCTCTCATCTCAGCCTCCTGGGTAGCTCAGACTATGGGCGTGCACCACTACATCCAGCTAATTTTTTGTATTTTTTGGAAAGTTGGGTTTATGCTGTGTTGCCCAGTCTTGTTTAGAACTCCTGGACTCAAGCCATTTGCCCTTCTTGGCCTCCCAAAGTGCTGGGATTACAAGCATGAGCCACCGCACCCGGCCAGTGCTTGCTTTTGAACTGCTTATAAGCCAGTGAGGGAGACAGATACATAGCATTAGTGAAATATCAGGGTAGTTCTCTTGCTGCTGGCAGAAGTTTGTGTCTGGGACATACTGTGGATGAGAGAAGGGAGAGACAGAGAGAGAGATCTTTATGGGCGAATAAACTGAAGCCCAGGAGTCCAGGCTGTAATGGCGGTTGCCTAAAATCACACAACTGGTCAGTACCCAGAGATAGGATAAGATTTCTTGGCTTTCTGTGCATTAGTAAAATAGGGAACACATCTTTAAAAAATGCAGTCTCTGAGAAAAGATTTGCTGAAAATGTAAGGTGTAATATAAAACACTAGTCTCATATATGCCGTGAGCATTTAGATAGGAGTACACATGGTATCTGTGTTAGTCTATTTTTGCATCAGCATAAATGAATGCCTGAGGCTGGATAGTTTATAAAGAAAGGAGGTTTAATTGGTTCACAATTCTGCAGGCTGTACAGCATCTGCTTGGCTTCTGAGGAGGCTTCAGGGAGCATTACTCATGGCAGAAGGCAAAGCAAGAGCTGGCATGTCCAATGGCTAGAGAGAACACAAAAGAGAGGGGGGTGGGAGGAGGTTCCAGGCCCTTTTAAACCACCAGATCTTGTATGAACTAACTGAGTGAGAACTCACTCATCACCAAGAAGAGGGCACCAAGCCATTCATGAGGGATCCACCCCGATGACCCAAATACCTCCTGCCAGGCCCCACCTCCAACACTGGGAATGATATTTCAACTAAGATTTGGAAAGAACAAACATCCAAACCATATCAGTATCCTTTGAAACAGGAAATTGTAATTTGTCTATCAAAATATATCACATTTAAAGCCGTATTTGAACAGACATCCTTCTTCCCTATATACAATATATCATTTATTCTCCCAGGAGACAGGATATATTTGATGTAATCATTTGTATTTTATAGTTAAGTAAACTGAGTTACAGAGAAGGTAGATAACTTTTTAAGTGGCAGAGAAACTATATAAATTTGGAGGAGAACACGTAGCTTCACTTTAGTTAGAAATGATTTTTGCTGTTTTGGGTGACCTGCTGTTTCTGTTTTTTCCCCCTTTAATAATTTATTTATTTATGTATTTATTTATTTTTATTATACTTTATGTTCTAGGGTACATATGCACAACATGCAGGTTTGTTACATACATATACATGTGCCATGTTGGTGTGCTGCACCCATTGACTTGTCATTTACATTAGGTATATCTCCTAATGTTATCCCTCCCCTCTCCTCCCACCCCACAACAGGCCCCAGTGTGTGATGTTCCCCTTCCTGTGTCCAAGTGATCTCATTGTTCAATTCCCACCTATGAGTGAGAACATGCAGTGTTTGGTTTTCTGTTCTTGCGATAGTTTGCTGAGAATGATGGTTTCCAGCTGCATCCATGTGCCTACAAAGGGCACGAACTCATCCTTTTTTATGGCTGTATAATATTCCATGGTGTATATGTGCCACATTTTCTTAATCCAGTCTGTCACTGATGGACACTTGGGTTGGTTCCAAGTCTTTACTATTGTGAATAGTGCCGCAATAAACATACACGTGCATGTGTCTTTATAGCAGCATGATTTATAATCCTTTGGGTATATACCCAGTAATGGGATGGCTGGTGACCTGCTGTGTCTAAGAATGAGTGTGGAAACTTAGGGGCTGAAGAGAAAGAGGCATATGACCCCATTTTCCCAGTAAACTGATTCTGGTATCTAGACTATAATTTTATCACCCTAGGAAGAATGGGTATTTAATATTTTATTTTAGAAATAAACTGTGATTAAATTTACTTTTTCTTCATTTTTTAAGGTTCGAGATTATAATAGATGTCACCAGCCCAAGAAGCAGAGACTGTGTGGCCATCCTTAATGGGATGATCTTCTCAAAGGACTGCCAAGAATTGAAGCGGTGTATCTGTGAGAGGAGAGCGGGAATGGTGAAGACAGAGAGCCTCCATTTCCCCCCTGAAAAATTAGGCGAAGGTGACTGATTCTCCCTCTGCAACTACAAATAGCAGAGTGAGCCAGGCAATGCCAATGCAAGGGCTACTTGAGACATCAGGAAATGGAACATAATCAGGAAACACTATCTCTCTGACTAGTACAAAATGGGTTCTCGTGTTTCCTGTTTAGGATCAGCAGCATTTGTGAGCTTGAGTTTATGCACATATTTAAAAGTCACAAGAAGTCTTATTTACATGCCACCAACCAACCTCAGAAACCCATAATGTCATCTACCTTCTTGGCTTAGAGATAACTTTTAGCTTTCTTTCTTCTTAATGTCTAATATCACCTCTCTGTTTCCATGTCTTCCTTACACTTGGTGGAATGAGAAACTTTTTGTAGAGGAAATACATCGAAGTAACATCCTTTTCCCTGACAGTCAAGCAGTCCATCAGAAATTAGCAGTTACTCCCCAGATTATACCACCAAATACACAAGGCATTCTTTTTGTTTGTTTCAGTTCATACTAGTCCCTTCCCAATCTATCAGTGAAGACCCCATCTGCCTTGTCTATGCCCTGTTTCCCAACAGGGATGTCTCTTGATATGAGAATCTCAATGCCTTATAAACATTCCTTCCTGTGTCCATTAAGACTCTGATCATTGTCTCCCTTCCATAGGAATTTCTCCCAGGAAAGAAATATATCCCCATCTCAGTTTCATATCAGAACTACCGTCCCCGATATTCCCTTCAGAGAGATTAAAGACTAGAAAAAAGTCAGTCTCTTCATCTGCACCTGTAACAGTTTCAGTTCCTATTTTCTTCCATTGACCCATATTTATACCTTTCAGGTACTGAAGATTTAATAATAATAAATGTAAATACTGTGAAGTGTGTGTGATTTTACAATGGACTTGTGATTTGTGGGAAAATTCAACATGGAAATGCTTTTCAGAATATGATGGCAATCATTATTTTCATCGTGCCTTGCTGAGAGTTTTTGGGGAATTTACAAGAGTACGGATTACACAATTATTCGGAGAAAATAAGATGTCTTTGAAATACATGTTGTCTTCAAGAGAACAGTTTTAACATTTTCCTAAAATGAAATATTTTGAGGCAAGCTTATGGCATCAACACATGGTTGATGAGGAAGCTGAGTTGCATTAGTGCACACAATTTCCAGTCAGGTAGTGGGAAATGAACAGAGACAGTGACATCTTTGTAGCTGCCCCTTTGTGAGGCACTTCTTTCTTGAGATGACTCCATGCACAAATATAACAGGGATCGTTGGGAGTGACACCATCACAGCCACCAAGTTTATTGGTTTATTGATAGTCAATTCTGAGGGTTTAATGCTAGAAAGGATAACATTATAAATCTTTGTTTTTCAACAGTGGCAACTGAGGTGCTTCAGTTTTGTTTTTCATAAACATCTATCTCATGGTAAAATGACATAGAGTAGCAATAATATGATAGAAAGAACACATTGGTGCTCACTTTCATAAATTTCATTTTGTTAGATTGTCACTTAGCAAAGACGATTGCAGATTCTTCCTTGAGAACTTTCCTTTCAATTTTCTGTTGATTTCCTTAAAATTTTCTTCAGGGTTGAGGAAGTTCTGTTGATATATTGTGTCATGCAAAGAAAACTGTATTTGTGGTTAGAAAATGAAGATTTTAGATCTCTTATTCTGATTTACTTATTAGGCAAGTCACTTTACTTCATGAAGCCTATTTCACTGCATATGAAGTAGAAATAGTTATAATTTCCTCATAATGTTACTGTTAGCTGAAATGAAGTAAATGTGAAATCAGTTTCATAGTGTGAACTTCAATATAAAATGTAAGGGAAGTCAAGAAAATATTTTTAAAAGGATCTAGCGATTTATTTTTAAATATAGGGGGGCACACACACATGCATAAGCAATGTTAAAAATAAAAAAAAACTTCAGCTGAATTAAATTTAAACGAGTTTAATTGAGCAATGAAGCATTCACAAATCGGGTAGCCTCCAGAGCCAGAGTAGACTCAGAGGCTCCAGAGCAGCCATGTGGTGGAAGAAGACTTATGGACAGAGAAAGGAAAACGTCATAAAGAAAACGGAAGTGACGTACAGAAAAAGCTGGATTGGTTACAGCTCGGAGTTTGCCTTATTTGAACACAGTTCAAACAGTTGGCTACCTTTGATTGCCCAAAACACAGTGATTGGCACAAGTGTAGGCTAGGGTCTATTTACACCTCAACTTGTTATAGTTGACATTATGTACAGAGAATCCTTTAGGCTAAACTTAAAATACGTGAGAAGGCGGTGTTAGGTTAAACTTGATTTATTAATAACAACCAACTTCTTTGGAAATTTGTATTTATGAACAAATTGTAGAAGGGCACCTACTTTGGGGAGCTAAGGGTTTTATTACCAAATATTTTTGATGATGAGTGCAGATTTTCAATGGAAGTAGTTCATATTAATAGGTACATAACAAGAAATGAGAAGTAAGTCTGCAGTTAAGCAATTGTTATGTAAGCCTTATTGCTACAGAAGGAAAATATGACTGATAGGAGGAAGTCAAATGATTTTGTGGACTAAGTTGTAAAACAGAGACATGCAGTCATTGAAGTTTTGACTCCTAGCATCCTATATAGCTGCAGTCTAGCTCAGGGATGGATGACAAGCATCTCTTTAAGTGCCATTGATGTGAAGAGTCTAGCTGCCTGCAGAGTGAGTGGTGAATGGTATGTCATTCCAAGTCTGGGACTAAGGGATAGTGTCACTTTACATTGTGAGGAGGAAAAAATAACATACATTTGACATACTTCAGCTCCTTCCCTTCATCTTTCCCCTTAATCCCTTTGTCTTTAGAGGGATTATTCTTATTCTTCTTCGTCTTTCCCCTTAATCCCTTTGTCTTTATAGCAAAACTCACAATATTGATCACAGTGTGAACAAACTTTTCAAAACAACAGAAAAAGTGTATTGCATAACATTCTCACTACACACTTTTGAAAAATCGATATTAAGAATAGGAAATAATGATAAAGTGAATTTTAAAATCTGATTTGCTAAGAACAATATCCAGTTGAGAATCAGAGAGGGGCACTGTATGAATTGGTTTTTCTGGATGAGGAGACTTTTTTCTCTCTAGGTTCTTGTTTATGTAATTCTGAAGAAATTGCAGGAACAGTCAAACGAGGAGCCCAGCCTTTCCTGGTAGAGCTGAGATCCCCGGGTACACAATAAGCTCGCTCTTTTCCTGAGGATATTGAACCTACTGTCAGGATTTATCAACAGGAAACAGGCCATGAGCCCTATAACAGCAGGAAGTGTGAGAAGGGTAATGGGGAACTTTTATTTTAAGGATGCAAACACATTATGAACAAGGTAGAAAGTCTAGTAGGTTGTCTCAGGGCCAGCTTTAATATGTGGGAGTCGACTCCGCTGTAGGGAGGTTCTTACAGTATTTGAAGATTACAAACAGCAGGATCCTCTGATTTAAAGTCTGCATGACTTTTGTACACACTTCATTATATGAATAGATGTTTAGGCTCAAATAATATCTACTATTATTCTACCAATATTATAATATATATGTATATATATATATTATACATTTAATGTACTTTAACCCAACATGTAACAAAAGCTTTTTTACATTTGCAAGACAGTTTTATTTTTAGTTTTCTTTTTGTTTGTTTAAGGCTAACTTAGAACTCAATGAAAGAGATCTAAGATGCCCAATTCATTGTTGGTGGGACTAGGATGTAAGACTGGCATACTCAGTGTTGTATTTGAAAAGTCTTGGTATCCTGGACCAACAACAACCTGCAGAGAAGAATCCCCCAACTACAGCATCTGTGTGGAAAGCAGCATTGTTGCTGAGGAGATCTGTAGGAGCTGAAGTCAGCTGTGCTATAGATAAATTGTAATTTGAAAATACTGCATCATACAACGGGATGACATCAGTTGAAGAATGTTTGCCTTTTGCTTTATTGTACTTTTTAAAGAATGATCATAAATGCTTCATATCCTTTCTCTAAACGTAGTTCCATGACAATGCTTTGAAGAATCTTTAAGGCAAACAATCTTTGCTAGTAAATTCTGCTATCGTTTCTCCTTTATTCCAGGTTATTACATTCAGCTGCCAGCTGTCGGCTGTAAAAATCGAACATAGGAGACAATATATGCTGTGTTTTCTCTGCTATTCTCCTTTTTCAGGTTCGGCAGAAAATTAGAGAAAAATCTCTTTTACTTAAACTCCCACATTTAAACTCTAGGTCAAGGTAAATAAACAAAAACATGCTCTTCTCATCCTTACACAACCTTAGCCATTGTAAAAGGACATTTAGGTAAGAGGATATTTAGTTTCATTTAAATGATTTCCGGTGACTCAGAGAATTAGGTTTTATTTTTACTTTATATATTTAAGTGATGTCTTTACGCTTAGGAAGAAAAGATGATAATCTAATGAATCTCAGCTCCTCCTTGTGAGAAATGAAGAATTAAATAAACTTATATTGAATTAAGCAAATATTTATTGAGAACCTACTAAGTGGTAAGGCATTCCTGTAGGGGCAGTAAGTGGTAACAAGTAATATAATAATAATTAAGGAATCTGTTCTTTTTGTAGATCACAAGGTACTTTGCTATTAATCGTCTCTTGGGGATAAGATAGTCCATGCTTCAGGGAGCCTACAGACTTAGGACAGAGAATGTCTATGGATTTATTTGAGGAGAATCCATTAACTTTAAAGCAGATATTCTCTCCAAAGAGTTGCTGACATTTTACCCATAAACTTTAACTTCTCAATATCCCTGCAACAGGAACAAAAAAAGGGATCATTTTTGTCTGGGATGCACAAATAAAGGTTGATGTGTAGAGATGACTGGTGATATAGTCCAGAGAACAAAACCAAGCACTGATAGAGTGTTCAACTCTGTGCAAGACTATTCTCGGCACTGACATATATTTACAGTCTAATCCTCATACAATATTTTGAAGTAAGTTCTGTTGTTACTTTACAACGAGGCAATTGAGGCACTGAAAAATGTAATCGAAAGTGCTGGCGTGTTAACCCTGAGGGACCAGACCATGAGCCCTTTGATTTGTGAATGGTAGGGATGGTCATTGAGAGGAAAGAGAGAATTCACAGAATTCTCTGGAGAACATTCTGATCCTGGCATCCCGACTATTCCTTCTGCTTATGTCCAATTCTAGTAGTTCATCTTTCTAGTAGAAATCGAATCTTAAAAAGTACATTGTCTTACAGGCTGCAGATAGAAATCTGTCTTTCTTTCAATTTGGAAATTCATATCTCTGTTCTTCTATCCTATCAGTCTGATAACATAATGCCTGAAAGGCTAGAAAATGCATGGAAAGATCTCACAGACGGTGAGTTTAAAAGGCCAAATTTATTTATTTATTTTAAAAATATTAGTCAGCTGTAACTGCTTCACCTCCCCCAACAACATAGATCTGTACCTTATGTGAAATTTACAGTCATTCTGGGCTTTAAACAATAAAAATGATTTCCGTGCGTTTGTTCTTAATTCTTCGGGGTTTTGTCCTCCGTAGCTCTAAATAAGTTTTATTCTTGCAATGTGAACAATATCGAATGAAATCTGGACGGTGTGGAAGAATATTCCCAAGTGTATTATTGAGTCCCAGGTTGCTAATTTCATTGCTCACATTTTGGTTTACTGTTTTGTTACTTGCGTTTGTGTTTTTTTTTGGTTTTTCTTTTGTTTTTTTTTTTTTTTTTCTTGGTGCGCAACGTGTCGGCAACGACGGACGCGGGCTGGCGGATTTCCACTCCGGCGCTTGTTCCAACTATACGCCTGCGCGCTCACCACGCACCATATTCTTTCTTTCTTCAGAGCAGGATCTAACGCAACTGTCGGCGCGAGATAGAGCAATACTTCAAGTGCTGCAGTTAGACGAAAAGAAGGCACTGCTTTTTGATCGTTCCCAGCAGACTTCGGCTTGGTTGAACTGGATAGCGGCGCTACTGGCAACCTGACAGGCAAGTCAGCATTTCTGAGTTAGCATTTGGGGGTTTCAAGATGTTCCTGAAGGGGTAACCTAAATGAGAGGTCGTGTTAGCTCTTGTTTTTGTTTTTGTTAATCAAGCATAGCCCTTCCTGTGTGGTTGCGTCTCCTTCTTTCAGTAACTGCTACGTTCTCTCAATAAGGAATGGTTCATATAACATTTGAACAAAACAGCATGTAAAGAACAAACGGAAACATAGATTAAGCCCAAGAGACGAGTCCCGTCAATTAGATGCTTTTGCTGACTCTTAACATTTTCAAAAAAAATACTACAGGCACCCTGATCCTCCTTCTCCATCTCCCCACTGCATCTGAACAAGCTTAAATGTGGAAATCGAACTAGATATGCGTACTCTCGTACATACTGGAAGCAATACAAACAGAAACACACTTGATAATTATATTCATTCATCAGACCACGGTCAATTGCTGGGTGAAGTTTCCTCATACAAGTAAAAGTCTGTCAGGGGCTGGGAAGCGAGAACAAGCACTTTACGAAGGGCATGCAGCTATTCTTAATTTTGGTTACTTTTAAATCCAAATTA